GCCTGCCTGCCTATCGCCCTAACCACCTCTGCCTGCCGGCCTGATGCCCCTAACTGCTCCCCTGCCGGCCTGATCGCCCCTAACCACCTCTGCCTGCTGGCCTGATCGCCCCCTGCCTTCCCCTGCCGGCCTGATTGCCCCTAACTGACCTCCCCAGCCAGCCTGATCGCCCCTAACCGCCTCTGCCTCAGCCCCCACCACCATGGCTTTGACCGGAAGGACGTCCAGAAGATGTCCGATCTAATTACCATATTACCCTTTTGTTAGTATAGATAGTTATATATTAAAGATTTACAATTTTTATTTTTTGCAGTAATGGAGATTTAATTTGATATAACTTCCTATTTAAGTTGTCTGACTTCTAATATCTTAATGTACAACCAACTTATAATAGTCACATCCAGTTGTAGAAATTAATTAAATAATATCAATTTATATAATACAACTTGTTTGGTAATAGTGACTTGCAGATTGACTGGATGGCAACAACTTCAGTATCATAAATGAAGGAACTGTTTCAGAGATGGCATGTGCTGGTCCCAAAAACTGCAGCCCTGAGTGCTCTCCTAGCTGATACACAAATTTTATTAGCCACTATGCAGCACTTAAGAGAAAATAGGTGAGCAATGGAGAAACCCACTTGCCACTTCCACATAACAAATAATTATTATCCCTAATGTTTATAAAGTACTTGCAACTCAAAAGTAAAAGACCAGAAACCCAATGGGAAAAGGAAAAAGACATGAGCAGGAGTTTTATAAGTGGAAACACAAATAGACAATAAATATGTTTAGTGATCTCACTACTAACCAAAGAAATGTTAATTAAAATGTATCTCTCTTTTCCCCATCAAATTGGCAAAGATGATAAGGGAGAAACCTCAATATTGGTAAAGGCATGGGCAAAGTACAACCTTTCTGGTGGGCAACCTAACAATCTATAAAGACAGTCCTCGGGTTACGTAGGACTCGATGTACGTTCGTTTCGTGGTTACGTTGCCATCTCCATTTATTAAAAAAAAAATTTTCCGCTGAAACCGGTTTGGCTCAGTGGATAGAGCGTCGGACTGAGGGGTCCCGGGTTCGATTCCGGTCGAGAGCATGTACCTGGGTTGCGGGCACATCCCCAGTGGGAGATGTGCAGGAGGCAGCTGATCAATGTTTCTCTCTCATCGATGTTTCTAACTCTCTATCTCCCTTCCTCTCTGTAAAAAATCGATAAAATATATTTTAAAAAAAAAATTTTTTTCCGGCATTTTGACATATGTACTTTATGTTTTTATTATTTATTTACCACAAGGTCAGGAATTGTTATCTTTCTTTTAATTTTTTTTTACTGTTTCACTTCATTACTGCTGTGTATATGTTCCATGTGAGTGACATAGGTGCTTATGTAGTTGGGTTCCAACTTACGGTGAAAATCACATTACATCGCGCTGTAGGAACAGATCTCCGATGTAACCTGAGGACCTACTGTATATATAAAAGGCTAATATGCAAAGTGTCCCGTCAAGAGTTTGACTGGGAAACTGGGAGTTCAATCTCTCGCTATGACATGTGACCACCAGGGGGGTGGCGCAAAACAAAGGAAGGCCCCAGCCAGCAGCCGGAAGGCCCCAATTGGTCCTGATCGTAGGCCAGGCCTAGGTAACCCCCATGCAAGAATTTCGTGCACCAGGACTCTAGTATGTACATAAAAGCAATTTCACTTCTAGAAATTTGTTGTAAATAACCTGACACACAAAAATCTGAATAGAAAAACCTGTCCTAGCTGGTTTGGCTCGGCGGATAGAGTGAGAGGTCCCATGTTCGAGTCAAGTCAAGGGTACATGCTCAGGTTGTGGGTTCGATCCCCAGTGTGGGGCGTGCAGGAGGCAGCCAATCAATGATTCTCTCTCATCATTGATGTTTCATTTTCTCTCCCTCTCCCTTCCTCTCTGAAATCAATACAAATATATTTTTAAAAAAGAAAAAAAGCTGTCCTCTCAAATATTATGAATAATTGTTTCAAATTAGAAAAGAAACACAAATATCTAACAAAAGAGGATTGTTTAAATACACCTCATGCATACCAATGAATCTAACCTTACTTCTAGGCTTCTGAATCATTCTTCTACACTAGAAATCCTAAATCCCAATTTAACAGGTATTCTCTACTGCCCTCTGAATAAACCCAGCTGATTATATTTCTTAATCTAACACTATTGGATGAAGTTTCTGTCTTATAAGTAGCATAAAATTGGAAAGATGAGGGATGCAAATGAAAGACTTAGCAAACTTAAAAACCTAAGTTTTAAGTCTAAAAAAAAGTCAATACATAATCCAGATTATAATCTTTATTCTTTAAAAAAAAAAAGTATATAGGCACATTCATTAAAAAGGTTCAGAACAGGAGCTGGCATATTTTCTGTAAAGGGCCAAATAATAAACATTTTAGGTTTTTGGGTCTCTGTCACAACCTACTCAACTCTGCCCTTCTAAAAAAAGTAGCCAAAGGCCGTATATAAATGAGTGTGGCTGTATTTTAAAAATCATTTATGGATACTAAAATTTGATTTCATATAATTTTCACATGTCACAAAACAGTCTTTAAAATTTTTTCTCCACCCCTTACAAATGTAAAACCCACTCTCACCTCACAGTTCATGCAAAAACAGGCCTCTGGTCAGTTTAGGCCTCAGATCAGTTTGCCAAACCCTAGTCTAGAGCATACACTAGCCTAGTGACTAGATAGAGCATGGTTAGTGGTTTATCCTTAAATGATGGGATTGGATTACAGTATCATTTTTGTAACTTACCTAACTTGTGTAATTTGTATCAATAGCACACAATAAACATATAAAAGAACACTTAAATAGCAGATCAGTACTTAGCATTTCAAAGAGCAGTGATACGATAATAATACTCATCACCAAGTCTGCCCAAGAAAGCAAACCTATGGAAAATAAAGTTTACCAGTATTTCAGAAATTCCTGCACTGTATCATGCTGCCTTTTCTTCTCTTTTTCAGACTGGTTTTTCCCCCCCTCCATTCCTTTGCTTATATCATAAGTTCACCAGTTACCCACATCAATTTCTTTTATATGCACCAGGTCAAACGCACTTCTCAGGGGAGATTGCTGTTATCATGTCACTTCTTTGCTCAAGTTCCTAATCTGACTTCTGAATTACTCCCCTACAGTAGGAACCCTAAACTCCAATTCCCCAGGTCTTCTCTACCGCCCTCTGAATAAGACCAGCTGTATCTAATTCCTTACTCCTCTAACATTGTTTGGGTGAAGATTCTGTCTTAGAAGATTGGAAAGATGAGGGCTACAGATGAAAGTATTCAGGATAAATAGCCAATATATGCTAAGCGCCAAAAGAAAGTAGAGACTATTCACTGATGTACATATTTTTACCCCTTTCCCTGGCATATACAATAAAGGGGGGAAAACAAACACTTGTACTTACTGAACTACACCTATATATGTTGCTCATAACTTTAAATTCAATTGTATTAACATTTTACAGTTTCAAAGAAACCAAAATGCCTATACAGTGGGGCCTGGACTTACGAGTGTCCCGACTAATGAGTTTTTTGAGATACCAGCTGTCTCTCGGCTGATTTTTTGCATTGAGTTGATAGAGTAATTTGAGTTAACGAGCTCCTTAACGAGCTCGGTCTCAGAACTTATTAAACTCGTAAGTCAAGGCCTCACTGTACTGCTATTGTACTCATGTAAATTTCCAGGGTTTCCCCCCACACACACATCCCCCATTATGGATTTGTAACTCAATGAAAATAATTTTCCACAGTTACATTGCTCCACAATTCTTAAGTCATTCAATTATGGTTAAAAGAGCAAGGACCTTGCGGTGACCAGGCTCAGCATCCTACATCCCAGGTGTGCCCCACCCCCTTACATCAGGAATGACCTTAAGCAATACTTAACCTCTCTAAGCCTTTTCCCCTTCTCTGTAAAATGAAATGCGTACTTCACGCGGCTGTGGTAAAAATTAAACCAACAGGTGGAAACCATTTCAGAGTGCTTCATACCTATCAAGAGCTCCTTAAATGCAAATTATTAGTACTATTCTTTTTTTTTAAATATATATCTTATTGATTTTTTACAGAGAGGAAGGGAGAGGGATAGAGAGTTAGAAACATCGAGGAGAGAGAAACATCGATCAGCTAGCTGCCTCCTGCACACTCCCCACTGGGGATGTGCCCGCCATCAAGGTACATGCCCTTGACCGGAATCGAACCTGGGACCCTTCAGTCCGCAGGCGACGCTCTATCCACTGAGCCAAACGGGTTAGGGCTATTAGTACGGTTCTTGGCGCCCAAAACCAATAATGCGACTGTCGAGACTAGATTATTGGGTACCTTTGTTTTCCGTGATTTTGCAAAATCTGAGCAGAGGACAGTTCAAGTCTGCCCGGTGGGAGAACTCGCCCACATTCCGGTCGCATCAACTAAACTGGCGCTGTCCGCACCTTCACGTGTGCCCGGTTTCGCACAACCCTCGGGAGGCATCATCCCGGACCCCCGCGAAGCCGTGGGAAGATGTAACGGAGATGGAATGATTTGTCTGGGGGGACATGCTTCCACTTAACCCGGGGAGGAGGGCCAAGTCCGGCCGCCCACGGGCCACGGATGGAGCGGGGTGACGGGCACGCCCAGCGCTTCACACCATCCTCTCGGCTTCGTGGGAAGATGCCCATCAGAAAATGTGTTTTGACGCGTCCAAAGGTCGGCCCTTTCTTTCCGGTTTAATGTAAATCCCGCTCACAGGAAGATTCGCGGGGAAGTTCTGGGCGGCGACACGTCAAACCACCGCCCACGCCAGGTGAGGCCGCCGACGCCTGCCGGGACCAGCGCTCCGGTGCGCTCCTCCTCCCGGGATCCCGAGGCCCGCCCGGCGCTGCGGCCGGCGCTGCGGCCGCCGATGCCGCCCGCCCCGACCGGTCCCGGGAAAAGGGCGCGACCCCCGACGGGACCGCCGCCTGGCGGTGAGCGAGCGAACGACGGGCTCCGAGGCCGGGGGAGGGGGCAGATATGGGGTACACGGGTGGGCGAGTCCCAGCCTTCGGGGCGAGTCTGCTGACTTCCCTCCGCTCCGCCAAAGCTCCAACCCCTCCCGGCCCTCCGCTGCCCCGGCTGCCGGCAACCTCTCTGCTTTCCTTCAGCCGCCGCGCAGCCACCCAACCGGCCCCCGAAGCCCGCCAGCCTCCCCGCCAGCCTGAACCCCGCGCCTTCCGCTGCTGCCCTGTTACCAGGGCTTCCCACCGCCGCGAGGCCCGGGGGCGCCTCCTCGCCCCGACGCTAACCGTCCCCCCCAAGTCCCCAGTCCCCCTTACCTCGGCCGCGAGGCAGCCAGGCGTCTTCCTCTGCTCCTCCGGCTCCCAGCTTGGCGGTCCCAGGACGTTGCTGCCAATCACCCAATCTCCTCCCCAAGCCACGGCCGGACTGACCAATCAGCGGCTTTCTCCGGCCCGGAGGCGGGCCCCGGGCTCACAGCGGAAGGCTCGGGTGCCGCCCCACGCGCCGGCGGCCGCCGCTCGTAGCCATTGTACGCATGCGCGCGGGGCTCGGCGGCGTGCGGGCGCTTTTCTTTCTCTTGGACCTCGCTTTGTGGCCTCACTGCTCCGCCCCGCGAAGTACTTTGTTTGTAAACCTCAGGCTCCAGGTGTGCGGGGCACCCACATTCTGAATGTAGCCAAGAGCGTGGCATGCCTTGAAAGAAGCTGTGAGATGTATGCCCTTGTTGTCCTAACGTATGTTGAGCCCTTTCATCCCCCGCTGTAGACTGGCGTGCACGCGGGAGATCTTTGGCCTCTACGGACCTCGCATGTGCGGTGCGTTTGTGTTTAGGGAGCGTGAGGGTGCGGGGTCCTACAAAGTGCCTGGTGGGTGAGGATTTCAGTTTACCATCTTCAGTTCCAGCATCTGCTTACGCTGACTCATTGGTCATAACTCACCTGCTTTTTAATAATCGTCTAGGACACGCTGGATTTAAAATATTTTGTCCTGAACATAGAGTAAGGTGTGTGAAGGCCTGATAAAAGAGCCCTGTGTAGGGGCAGAAACCGATCAGCCCTATGTACGGCCCTTCAAAAGCTGTTGCTGATTGGCTGTGTCACTCACCCTCCCATTGTAACTGATACCAGAGGTCACCGGGCAAGCACCCGCGCTCTCCTTCTGATACTGGCTCCCAAGTCTCCCCCTGGCGAGGGCTTTCCTCTTTCAGCAAAAACACCGATTCATTTACTCAGCAAGGGCTTTTGGGGGGCCCACTATGACAGTACAAAGAATTTTTTTTTTTTTTTAAAGCCGTGAACCACACCCTCCGTGAACCTACAGGCTAGCAGGGAGATAGAAATACAAATTTAACGTATATAACCAAACGTTATCATGAAGGTATGCCGAGAGGGAGCCTGGAAGCTAACCCTGCCTGCCCAGGGGCTCGGGGAACACATCAGAAAGGGGTGAGTGGGAGGTCCAAGCATGGGGTGTGCTTGTTGAAGCTAGCCTGTCAGTACGCAGAGCTGGGAAATATATTACCAGTTTGTGTTTCCATTCTCTGTTTATATTCCTGTGATAGGCAGCATCTGAGAGGGCCACCAATGGTCGCTTCCTTCTGGTATTCACAAGATCCCATGTCCAGCAGCCTGTGAGAAACTGAATCCTGCTCACAGCCATGTGAGTGAATTTGGACAAAGATCCTCCCCCACGTGTGCCTTCAGATGACTGCAGCCCAACTGACACCTTGATTGCAGCCTTGTGGAAGACCCTGAGCCAGAGATATCCAGCTAAGCTGCACGTGGATTCCTCATACACAGGAGATTTGAGATAATAAATGACTGTTGTGGCAAGCTGCTACCTTTTTTTAGTAATTTTTTAGGAAACAATGGACAGCTGATATGATTTCCGTCTCTGACACAAGATCCATGGTTCTTAAATATACTTTGAAGCTTGTTGGAAAATACATAAGCCCAGCAGCCCTGCCTGGTGTGGCCCAGTTGGTTGTTGGTTTGATTCCCGATTGGGGCACATGCCCGGGTTGCAGGCTCAGTCCCCGGTGAACGGTGTGCAGGAGGCAGCTGATGGATGCTTCGCTCTCACATGGATATTTCTCTCTCTCCATCTCCCTCTCACTCTAAAAATCAATAAAAATGTTTGAAAAAATACATAAATCCAGGCCTCTTCCTAGAATCTAAGGTGATTGTTATGCATAGCTAACTTTTGGAAACAAATATAGAAGATTAAAAGCAACCCATTTGCAGATTTTAGGAAAAAAATAGACTTTATTGTGCTTTTTAGTGTATCTGATCCTGGAGTTCTTTACCCAAATAAATGGCTCAGCTTTCTTGGCAGAACCCAGAATGACTGTAACTTCGTCTGCTAGCTGGAGTATTTACTGACTAGAGGAAAAGAATCAGAGCTTTCATTCACTTTGTGGCCTTGAAAAAGTCCCTTGACCTTTCTATGCTTCCAGATTGCTAACTGGAAATTAAAGGATTGTAATGCCATTATTTAAGCAAGAGATTTATCCATTATTAAGTGTATATTAGGCTAGTATATTAGGTGATCAAGGCCCATTGTGGGCCAGCTTCCTTGTAGAGATTTAACAAAAGGTCAGGTTCCCATTTGTTCATGTTGGTAGACAGTGACGCTTAATTCTATTGTAGAAATTCTGTTTCCAAGTCAGACCCATGTTCAGTTATGCCTCTGCCACATACCAGCTGTGTGGCCTTGGGCAAACCAATCAGTCTTCCTTGGTCTCAATTTTCTGATGTGCTCAGTGGGGAAAATAGCCACCTCAAAGGTGGCCCTGAGGACTGATGTACAGTACTAAAGGCAATGCCTGATTTAGCACAGGAGTCCTATAAATAATAGCTGTGAAGGACATACAATCAGCTCACGTCACTGTGATCCAGTGGTAAAGTAGAGGACAGACAAATGCCCACCTGTGTCCATCAGCCTGCTTCTCATATTAGGATTAATGACAATCCCATTTGGTGAGGTAGGTAATAATCTGCGAATCGTACAGTGTCTTCCTTAGAAATCCAGACCCTTTCTCCCTAGTTCTGCTTTTTCTCCAGCTCTGATTGCCTGTCTGTAGAAAAGATAACACACTGGAATGGGCCTCAAATGGTCCTGAGTTAAAATTCAGGAAAACCTAGCTAGTAAAAGACCATTGGGGAGAGCAGTGAAGTGCCTGTGTGAGGGATGCTTTAAGACAAGGTGGGGCTGGATGTGTCTGGGAGAGAATTTCAGCTACAGGACTAATTGATGGGCCAATATCATCTCACATGAGGTGAAAGTTCATACATGCAGCTAAATGCCTAATAGTTCAGATCCATTGACTTCAAGCTCTGATCACTATTAAAGGCAGATATTGGAGAGAGAGAGAGATTGAGAGAGAGAGAGAGAGAGAGAGAGAGAAAAAACTTTTAAATCCACTTAAGTCATGTAAATCTCAGTGCAAATGAATGTGTTTACCATGGTGCCCAGCGAAACATTGTTGAGCTACTTGACTTACTCATGCAGTGTTGAGTATGCCTGGTTGTTCTAAGCCTTGAAACTATTTTTTTTTTCTTCTCAGCTCAATGTACAAAGTGATCTGATGTATATCCAAAAATATGTATATCCAAATAGGTGAAAAGATCACTGCCTTCCAGAGACTGTGACATTTCTTTCTATAAACCAGTTCTTGGGATATACCCTGACCTGCAGAACTCTTTCGTTTTAATGTTTTTAAATTAGGTTTTATTTTTTGAAATTATAATTACGCAAAATGTCAAACATACACAAAAGTAAAAAGCCTATGCAGCCGAAACCGGTTTGGCTCAGTGGATAGAGCGTCGGCCTGCGGACTGAAGGGTCCCGGGTTCGATTCCGGTCAAGGGCATGTACCTGGGTTGCGAGCACATCCCCAGTAGGAGATGTGCAGGAGGCAGCTGATCGATGTTTCTCTCTCATCGATGTTTCTGACTCTCTATCTCTCTCCCTTCCTCTCTGTGAAAAATCAATAAAATATATTAAAAAAAAAAAAAAAAAAGCCTATGCAATGAATCCTTATGTGTCCATCATACAGCTTCAACAATCAGCAACACATAGCTACTGGTTCTATCCATACCCTTTCCAGGCCTCTTTCATTCATTTTGTTTGTTTGCTTTGGAGACGCTGGAGAATAAACCCCCAGGGGCCTCATACAGTCAAACCTTTTGATTCTTTTGAAGTGAATCTCAGGCATGTCATTTCAACCATAAATATTTCAGTATGTATCACTTGAAGTTAAGGAGGGTTTTTTTGTCTTTTTTTTTTAAGGAGTCTTTTTAAAAAACATAACGATAGCGCCATTATCAGGCCTAAAATATTGATCATAATGTTTCTTAATATCATCAATTCAGTGTTCGAATTTACTTGGGTGTCTCATTGATTTTTCTCTTTATTTTTATTGTTGACACTATTACGGGCGTCCCCATTCCCTCTCCCTTTTTGTTTACTTTTTTTTTACAGTTGGTGTCTTTGAATCAGAATATTAAAAAGAGCCACACATCACATTTGGTGAATATCTCTGAAATATATTTCATTTACATAACCCCCTTCCCACCCTTCTTTGTTTTGTTTTGAAAAAGAAACAGATTTTTGTCCTATAGAAATTTCCCACATTCAGGATTTTACTGATTACATTCCTATGGTGCCATTTAACAAATTCCTTCATCTCTTATTTTCTGTAAACTGGTAGTTAGATATAAAGGCTTGATTTGATCTAGGTTAAATTTTTTGCTAGAATACTTTAATAGGTAGTGGTATATACTTCCATCAAAAGCTACATAATGTTCATGTGTTTCTCTTTGTAACATTAATGGCTATTAGTGATCATTGCCTACATCCATGATCTCATTAAGCGTTTGCAAAATGGTGATATTCTATCATTCCTGTTAGTTATTTGGTTACCTTGAGGAATGTAAAGAAAGGCATGTTGGATGCTTGTTTCTTAGTATTTACCAGTTTTCAGAATAAGAATAATTGTCCCACATCACCTATTTTGTTACTCTGAAGTATAGTACATATACTAGTAAGAAAGATAAGTATAATGCTTGGTTTCATTTTCTTTATTTACCAATTTTCAAATCCTCTAAAGATGTTTCTTTTCTTTATCCCCCACCCCCAGGATCAGTAAGCACTTATGAACTTTATCATTATAAATTAGCTTTTATCAGGTCTTTTCTGGATAGCAGATTCTTATACAGAGAGAAGTGGGGATAAATGTACATTTATGGAATATCTTCTAGGCATCTTTTCTAGCACTGAGCTATGTGCTCTTACACTATTTTATTTAATTCCCATAGCAGTCTTAGAAGGCAGGTATCTTGGTCTCTGTTTTGTTTTTTGGTTTTTTTGTGTGTTTTTTTAAAAATTTTTTTTTAAATATATTTTTATTGATTTTTTACAGAGAGGAAGGGAGAGAGATAGAGAGCTAGAAACATTGATGAGAGAGAAACATCGATCAGCTGCCTCCTGCACATCTCCTACTGGGGATGTGCCCGCAACCCAGGTACATGCCCTTGACCGGAATCGAACCTGGGACCCTTCAGTCCGCAGGCTGACGCTCTATCCACTGAGCCAAACCGGTTTCGGCATGTTTTTTGTTTTTTTTTAAATATATTTTTTATTGATTTCAGAGAGGAAGGGAGAGAGAGAGATAGAAACATCAATGATAAGAGAGAATCACTGATCAGATGCATCCTGCACACCCCACACTGGGGATCAGGCCTGCAACCCAGACATGTGCCCTGATCGGAATCAAAACATGACCTCCATGTTCATACATCAACACAAAAAAGCATTGAGCCACACTAGCTGGGCCCAATTTATATTCTTTACCCAATTTCTATAGGGTTATTTATTCCCTTCTTGACAATTTGTAATTGATTTTTGAATGTTATACTTTTCAACAGAGCACAAAGAATAAAGAGGCTTTGGCTAGAACTAAATGATAAAGATTTAGTCAAGTGTCTTAGGATTTTCAAATCATAAACACAACTAGGAACTACCCAGAATGTTGTGAAGAAGAAAGAAAAACTGAGAGTTCTTATAGTAAAAAGTACATTCTTGAGAAGACAGTCCTGCTTCCTTAGCCTCTGGATTGTTCTGAGATGGTAACCTTCCAGAAGACCAGTGGTCTGGAGAATGGATATCAGGTGCTCTAGATGTGTAAACATTCTTTCCTATATTCTTCAGAGAGTTATCTATAGGAGATGTATATATAGGGTGTCCCAAAATTCACGCAAGATTTGAATTTAGTGTGAACATTAACAACAACAACAAATAAAAGCCTAATTTTCCTTGGTTTATTGAATCAGATTCTAATATCTGTTGCCCTTTGATTTCAATCCCTTCAATTTGATAAGCATTACCAAGTACCAATTATGGCCCAGGAGCAGGGACAATGAAGACCATGGCTTTGCATATGTGCCAGCAAAACCATGGAGGCCATTTACCCAATGTGCTATTCCATACATAACCTTATACTGTATACTTTATTAATCAATAAAGAATTTACAATTTTTAATTATAAACCTGTGTTTTCTATCAAAATTACTTCTTGCATGAATTTTGAGACACCCTATATAATCTTCAATTAGAATAATTTCCTCATGCCTCAGCTTACTTGGTTTAGTAATTTAGCAGGTTAACCATAGTGACTCCATTTTATTCCTCACTCTTTTCCTGACCTTCTATCTGCCCAATGAGTTGCAGATTTACCTCAAACCTACTTTCTATTGACATTGCTTATACATCTTTTTGCCATACAAAAAAATTTTCTTTAAAACAAGTCAAATATGTGCATTTCTTTCTTTTTTAACTTCTGGGTTTCCAGTCTTATTTAAGGTCTCCCCTACTTCTTGTTGCATGTAGTAACCAAGATTTTTCTGAAAGGATTTTTAAAATATTTTTTTACAATTGAGTTTTTAATCCATCTGGAATTTATTTATTTTGCTAAATGATGGATATGGATACAATTTTATTTTCATCCAGGTGGATAGTCAGGGCTTCTACTTAACATTTTTTCTCATCCTTTAAAAATTTCTATCTTGACATGTTTTTAAGTATTAACATGATAGTCTATGTATAGAATTTATGAATAAATACATATATCAAAGCTATAGGCTCAAAAAATGTTTTAAGCAAAAAATGTTTTGGAAACCATTGTACTACCAGGGGTGGGCAAACTTTTTGACTCGAGGGCCACAATGGGTTCTTAAACTGGACCGGAGGGCCAGAACAAAAGCGTGGATGGAGTGTTTGTGTGAACTAATATAAATTCAAAGTAAACATCATTACATAAAAGGGTACGGTCTGGTTTTGTTTTTAGTTTTATTCATTTCAAACCGGCCGGCCCTTGGGCCGTAGTTTGCCCAAGGCTGTAACTAGACCATGAGCTCCTTGAGGGCAGTAATTATGGTTTTCCTTATCTTTTAATTCATTGCTAAGACTGTCTCTTGAATGTGTTTCAAAAATGGTTGTTTAAAAAAAATGAGTGAATGAGACTGCCATTGTCTTATTCATGTGTCTTAAGCAACACAGCCATTGAGAAACTGGATATTCCAGCTGTGTCTTGTGGCAAGCTATCTGAGGCTAAGAACAAGCAATGACTCATAATGGCAAATAGTATAACTTCACTGGTGTCAAGTTCATATACTTTCAATATGAGAATATAAACTATTCATCCGTTCATTCATTCATTCATTCATTCCTCACCCAAAGATATTTTCCCATTGATTTTTAGAAAGTGTGGAAGGGAGGGAGGAGAGAGAGAGAAACATCTATGTGAGATTGGTTGCCTCCTGCAGGCACACGCCCTGACCAGGGCCAGGGATCCAGCCCGCAACCTAGGTATATGCCCTTGACCAGAATCGAAGCGGGGACCCTTCAGTCTGCAGGCCAACGCTCACTTTATTCATTGAGCCAAACTGGCTAGGGCAAGAATATAAATTCTTATAGCCTTAAAGACTTCCCTATGACTAATAATTCATAGATGCTTATGAAACTAGTTATTTTTTTTGCAAATACACCCCCTGCTTTTTAATGCCAGTCATCTACCCTCTATATGGCAATTTACTAGGAAAAATGTGTCTATACTTTAATGTCAGAAAGGTGATTACATTTAATTTTAAAAAATATATTTTTATTTATTTCAGAGGAAGTGAGAGGGAGAGATAGAAACATCAGTGATGAGGGAGAATCATGGATAGGTTGCCTCCCGCATGCCCCTCACTGGGGATCGAGCCCGAAACCCGGGCATGTGCCCTGGCCAGGAATCAAACCCTGACCACGTTCAACTGAGACACACCAGCTGGGCTGCACTTAGATTTTATATCGTTTTCTACACTACAATTTCCTCCTCTCTCCCTCCCTCCCCCCAATTCCAGAAATTGATTGGTGTGGTTGATTGTTAACAAGTGAGGCTGGTGTTTCCAGCCCTAGACATGTATCATCTCTTTTTTCTTGGTATTTTAGACTCTGTGTTCACTTATAACCACTCCCTCTTGTGACTTGGGGAAACAGAAACCATGCCCAACCTTTTTTGCAATAGGTCAATTAGTGCAAAAGAGACCTTTTCTACTCCACTTTGCTCCTATTTGCTGTTTTTGAGTTTATTAGAAGGAGGAGGAGGGTAATCAAGAATCAGGGGAGGTAAGTAAATTTGGGCAAAAGTAAACGTTTGGCTTTTAAACTCACTTACGGACGAATCAAAGTACTCGAACTTCGAGCTGCTAGGAAGACTCTACATTAGCAAGGAATGAACGAAATAGAAAGCCTCAGATGGTGCCAGTGTTCT